ATGGGCACCCGAGTTGGAGGACCATGTGAAGACAACCTTCGAATCCAAGTTTTCATATCGGTTGAAGGACATGTTTCACACAATCACACACAAGATGAAAGGTCAGAAGCCGGGCTGGCTTATTGATGAAGTCCACCGGAAGATGATGAACATTGTTGTCAATGATGATACGTACAAGAAATGGTCCGAACAAAATAAGAAGAATAGAAGAGGCGGATCATTGGACAATGTGGTTGAACCAACCCACTACCAGGGTTCAATTTCAGCTGTACAACATGCAAAAAGGATGGTTAGTTTCTTTATAAGGCATGTAAATAGGTAACAATTGTGGTTCACATTGGAATGACAAGTTTTATTTGTTTTTGTGCATGTACATTCAAAGGCGGCGAAAAACAAAGGGCAGTTACCTACTTCACATGAGCTTTTCATGAATATGCACTTCAAGGAGGTCCCTGGGAAAGGAATGGTGCCTGCCAATGTCAAATCCAAAAATATAGCGGTAACAATTTTAATATAATTTTGTATGGTTTACTTATTATGTTGGCTTAAACTTACAAATATGCTTCTTTATTGTAATTTAAACCCATAATATGTTATAAGTATGTAAATATGAGATGGTTTGACAAAGAATGAGTTAAAAAGTAAAGAAATGTTGGAAATAGGCATGTAAGAAGCTATAAAGGCTTGAAATGGCTTCATTTTGAGTATAAAGACCCTTAAACTTAGAAATATGGTTCTTTTATGTGATTTAAACCCATAATATGTTATAAGTATGTAAATATGAGGTGGTTTGACAAAGAATGAGTTAAAAAGTAAAGAAATATAGAAAATAGGCATGTAAGAAGCCATAAAGGCTTGAAATGGCTTTATTTTGAGGATAAAGACCCTTAAACTTAGAAATATGGTTATTTTATGTGATTTAAACCCATAATATGTTATAAGTATGTAAATATGAGGTGGTTTGACAAAGAATGAGTTAAAAAGTAAAGAAATATAGAAAATAGGCATGTAAGAAGCCATAAAGGCTTGAAATGGCTTCATTTTGAGTATATAAACCCTTAAACTTAGAAATATGGTTATTTTATGTGATTTAAACCCATAATATGTTATAAGTATGTAAATATGAGATGGTTTGACAAAGAATGAGTTAAAAAGTAAAGAAATGTTGGAAATAGGCATGTAAGAAGCCATAAAGGCTTAAAATGGCTTTATTTTGAGGATAAAGACCCTTAAACTTAGAAATATGGTTCTTTTATGTGATTTAAACCCATAATATGTTATAAGTATGTAAATATGAGGTGGTTTGACAAAGAATGAGTTAAAAAGTAACGAAATATAGAAAATAGGCATGTAAGAAGCCATAAAGGCTCGAAATGGCTTCATTTTGAGTATATAGACCCTTAAACTTAGAAATATGGTTCTTTTATGTGATTTAAACCCATAATATGTTATAAGTATGTAAATATGAGGTGGTTTGACAAAGAATGAGTTAAAAAGTAAAGAAATATAGAAAATAGGCATGTAAGAAGCCATAAAGGCTTGAAATGGCTTCATTTTGAGTATATAAACCCTTAAACTTAGAAATATGGTTCTTTTATGTGATTTAAACCCATAATATATTATAAGTATGTAAATATGAGGTGGTTTGACAAAGAATGAGTTAAAAAGTAAAGAAATATAGAAAATAGGCATGTAAGAAGCCATAAAGGCTTGAAATGGCTTCATTTTGAGTATATAAACCCTTAAACTTAGAAATATGGTTCTTTTATGTGATTTAAACCCATAATATTTTATAAGTATGTAAATATGAGATGGTTTGACAAAGAATGAGTTAAAAAGTAAAGAAATGTTGGAAATAGGCATGTAAGAAGCCATAAAGGCTTGAAATGGCTTCATTTTGAGTATATAAACCCTTAAACTTAGAAATATGATTCTTTTATTGTTTATTGATTCCATTTTCACTTATATGTTGCTTTACTTGTAACTGATGTTGTTGCTAAATTATTAAAACCATATATAATTGTATAATGTATTTCTTGTAGGAGTCCTACCAGAAGAAGGTTGAAGAAGCCACCACCCAAGGGATTAAAAAGAGTCCTAATGAGTTGTATTGGGGGACTGTGGGTGGTCGCAACAAGAAGGGTCGAGTGGGGGGACTTGGCGAAATCGCATCGCTGTACTATGGCGAACGGATGGGTCGGGTGTCTAGGTCTTCACAACAGTACACACCATCTGTTGTTTCTCAGATGCAGGATCAGATGGAGCAAAGGGTCGAGGCTCTTCGTAGTGAGATCCGCAGTGAACTCCGGAGTGAAATACGGAGTGAACTTCGGAGTGAAATGGAAGTTGAGATGCAAGCTCAAATTCGAGCTGAAGTGGCCCAAATGGAGAGGAGAGCCGAGGAGAGGTGGAATGACTTCATAAGTCGATTCGGCAACAACACCGACGGATGTTCCACCATTCAGCCTCAGCGTCGAGACCCTAGGGATGATTCTGGTAATGGAGGAGCAAGCCAGGGTACCCCTGCAGTTTTTTAGCTTAGCTTAGGTTTGTGTAGTATGGACAAGAACTTAATTTGATCGATTTTATGTAGCGTTTGATTATGTTCCCGCTTTTGTAGAACTTACTATATATTATGTAGCCTTTGGTATATATATAGCTTTTGAGAAAATAATATTTATTAATATTTTCGCAATTTGATAATAGTTTTAAATATCACAGGTATTTGGTGCAGGAACATACGCAATTATAATAATATTTGTTAATATTTTTGTTAGAAAGGAAAAGCAGTTTGCGACGGAATTATATTGGTCGGAAGTACTTCATTTGTGACGGAAAACTGGAGTTAAATCCGTCGGAACTCACCTCCCTTTCTGACGGATTATTCGGTCGTAAACCAGCGATGGAATAAATTTCGTCGCAAAATACACTACCAGCGACGGAAATATTCGGTCGGAAAATAAAGTTTACGACGGAATAATTCGGTCGGAAATTACTGTTTCCGACGGAAATATCCGTCGTTGTAAACAGCACATCGACGGAAATTTTCGTCGCAAATTAGCAACGGACTAAACTAAAAAGTCAATATGTTACGCGACGGATTAACGGTCGTAAAGTCCGTCGGAAAACACCTTTCCGACGGAATATTCCTCGAAAATTCAAGAATTTCCTACCAAAGGTTTTACGACGGAAACCAACGACGGAATTCTGTCGCAAACATGATTTGCGACGGATTTAGAGCCTTCAGCGAGGGAAAATTTCGGTCGGAAACGGGCCATTTTCTTGTTGTGATTCCTGGGCGGGTTGTGGCTGATGCGGCTCATCGGAAACGGGTTAAGTATGAAGCTCGATGTCAGGCAATTGGATATGGTTTCATTCCCTTCTCCTTTTCTTCACTTGGGGAATTAGAGAAAGAGGTTGTTGCATTGCTGAAGCGGATTCAAAAATTCTCGACGGCGCAAGAAATTGGGGCACGTGCTGCGGCTCATGTATTTACTAGGATTGGATTTGCTATAGCTAGTGGAGTGGGGGCCCAGATTGTATCTCGGCTATCCACTAACTTTTTATAGGTTGTATGATTTTGTCTGTTTTTGAGATATAATAATAATAATAATAATAATAATAATAATAATAATAATAATAATAATAATAATAATAATAATAATAATAATAATAATAATAATAATAATATCATTTAAAGTGTAAAGCATTAGATTTTTTTTTTATTAAAAAAAACGTTACAAATTATTTGTTAACAAAAACAGAATTAATTGATGATATATACGTAGTATATGTTTAATGAAAAAAAAATTAAATATATTAATGATAGTAAACATTTTAATGATGGTATTAAAGTAAATACACATTAGTACACTATTCCGAATAGTTATATTCTACTTTTTATAAGGTAGGGATATTAATCTACATTTACATTTTAAATTGATTATGGTTGACAATATAGTCAACAAGCAAATCCATTGCTATGTATATATATAGTTCACTGATTTTTATAGCTTTGTAACATTAGTGTGTTGATTAGTTCATACATGTCATTGTACAGTTTTCATGAGATATTGGAAAATATGTTCTTAAAGTAATATATTGTGTGTTATCCTTTTAGAATATTAGAATAATACTCCCTCCGTCCCTAAATTAAAAACCTCTTTCTCTTTATTATGTGAGTAATAAATATTAGAAAGAGCCTTTGTATTAAGGGACAGAGAGAGTATTGTTTTAAAGTTCAGATTAAAATGCGAAACTTTTTCATGCTCGATTGCTACGTACTGCTTTCTTGAAATTACTCTAGTTCATTGCGTATATTTCATCTTTCACCATCGTCTACCTTGATTACTCCCTCCGTGTTTTTTTTTAAGTGTTACACTTCCTTTTTTGGCAAAAAACTATATTAAAATATTATATCTCTCTCCTCTCATGGTCCCCACCCCAATCCACTACTACTTTTTTATTATATATTTCCTCTCATATTTATTACTTTTCAATAAACTATTAACCTCACTATCTTTCTTTTACAATTTTTTTAATACTCCAACTACCCCACTTACCTCTTATTTTATTTAAGTCAATTAAATTGCCTAAAACTATGTGTCAGTCAAACTGTAACACTTAAAAATACACGGAGGGAGTACTCATCAACTCTGTAAAAAAATTTATTCTTGGAGATGGTTTTCACGCAAGTTAGGCTCCTACTTAATGCCTTTTTTGTGTTAGGATTCATAAATGTGACAACTAGATTAAAAGGAGTAATAATGTGACAATTAGATTTGAAAACGAATTTAGTAAAATTGTTTGTTACCAGTACTCCGTAATATTATTGCCTTTTTGTTTTGGATTATCAAAATTAGGTGAAATTAATTTTGTTCAAAAAAAAATTGTTCTCTATCTTTTACCCCAAAAAATAATAATAAAAAAAAGGAAAAAAAATCTGATCTTAATTGAAAAATACGAGTAAACAGTAAAAGAACCAACACATAAAATCTTTATTAACAACATAGGGGAATTGCAGAAACTACAACACTTGATGATGGAGCATGTACCATGGAGGGCACATTACCATAAACAACGTAAGGGATGCCCAATCCATCTCTTATTACCGTATATGGCGGAGCTTGTATCCTCGAAAATGGACCACGGGGCGCATAACAGAACATAGGAGCATTAGGAAGATACATTGTATTATGATGACGCATATGAACAGCCTCTTGAATATTAGTAACATTTTGATGATGAGTATTTGCAATACTTCTTTGAGATGGAGATATGCCATAGAGTATCCCTTCAAATTTTGTGTAGTCTTGAAAATTTTCGAAGCGAGAGTTAGAACGATCCCATTCAAAGAACTTGGTTAGAAGTTGAGCCGTTGCTAAGCTATCCGATCCTGCATGATGACGCTTTCCGAGTAGTTTAAACCCTACCATTTGAGTCACTTTCCCCAACCCTAACACATCCTCACTCAAAGGACCCAAGTAGTTCTCATATTGCTTAACCATTGCTTTAAGATCATAAAACCTTCCAAAAACTCTCTTAACTAGTTCAAGAAACTGCTCTTTCGTGCTTGGTATCGACAATTCGAGCACACTACTAATCAAGAACGCTAAATCGTACATACCATGAAATGTAACCCACTTGATTTTTCCATAGAACTTTTCTACAATGTTACCAAAACCAACTTTGAATTTGTGAAATATACTAGTGGTTTCACCTTGAACGTACGTACGAGGATCACATAGATTGAACTGCCAACAACCACCTATATTCCCTTCATCATCACAAAGACTTAATCCGACTTGAAACAACTTGCAATTGCCGGTGTTGTATTTCATATCTTCATATCTCATCAACTCGGTTGCACCTCGTGGTGTAACACATAAAAATGGAGTGAAGCCCGTATCAATACAAACATTGTTGTATGATGCTAATAAACCAGTTAGACTTTTCATCTCTTCGTCGTAGTTATTCAATCGTACTTGAATGATTGATAATGTTGAATCCATGACTTTAATTCTTCTCTCTTGACTCTTGTCTTGCTCTATTTGTTTTTTTGTTTTTGGATGAAGTTGTATTCTCTTTGCTTCAATGTAATGATGTCGTATATATTGAATTTTATGCTGCTCATGTCGGTTCTAGTGTACACTTACGTGCAGCCTAAGTCAGAAATAATCAGATCATGATTATTATTTTTGGAAATTAAATCAAATCAAGATATTATTTTGGGAAATTAAATCAAATTAAGATATTATTTTGGGAAATTAAATCAAATTAAGATATTATTTTGGGAAATTAAATCAAATTAAGATATTATTTTGGGAAATTAAATCAAATAAGATTATGGTATTATATTAGATTCTAACGGTGTATTCTAACGTGTATTTGTGATGGGCTTAGTAAGTTTTTTATTTTTTTCCTAAAATAATAACTAGGCTCCTGTTGTACACATTAAATATTATATCAAGCTTCCACAATTAGATATACTAGAGTGTACCCAATGCACGGGATATATAGTATATTAGAAAGATATTAAATATATACTATAAGAAAAAATATACTTAGAATACGGGAAGTTGATTTTGATGTTGTAACTTAGACCCTATTCTTTTGAGCTGTTGTGGACTTGTGTTCTGGTCTGCTCTGCTTAGCTCTGCTCTACTGAATATTATTAATTTGTTGACACTTGGTTTTCCCTGCTAATTGCTATGCTGAAATCTTATGTTCTTTGCCCTGCTCCAAAAGCTTAAAAGAACAGGGTCTACTCTTATATGTCGGTGACCACGCAATGTGGCAAGTAATTATGGGGTTTACTTTGTCAAAGCTATAGAGGTTACCGATTTAGTGTTATACGAGTAACTTGGCTCAATGATGTAGGAGTTACTCTTTTCTTTTGCAAATAGTTTTTCGATGAGACCAGTTTCGCAAAAAACATGTTGTATATATTTTTTTTTTTTGATTTGGTTATTAGAGAAGACGACATTGTTTGGAGGGTAGTTCCTAAAAAAATACATATAATCGAAGGATTGGGGATTTTGAATGTTATGGTGAATTGTTGATAAATGAACTATATACTCAAAGTGAAATGTTATTAGTGTACTTAAAAAAAAAGTAATATTGGTAATATTCCCTTGTAAAAAATACAAAAAAAAAAAAAAAAAAAAAAAAAAAAAAAAAAAGAAATTAGAAAAAAAAAAACAGTGGGATGGTATTTATTGATTTTTTTGTGGAATGGATAGTTGTTTTTTTTTTACTTTAAAAAAAAAATGCATGAGAACTCAAGGAGTTTGGAGCATTTATGTATATTTAAAAGAAAAGAAAATTAATTGGTAGTTTTAAATTTTTTTTTTTTTTTTTTTTGGAAAAATGGAAGTTATTGTAATGGAAAGAGTTAGTTATTAAAAAAAAATTAAAAAAAGAGAATGCATAGAATTACTCCATTCAAGGATTGGAGTATTGTGAGTGAAAGTTGGCAAAAAAAAACTCTTAAATTATATATCTACTAGAGTGTACCGTGCAAAATGCAAGGGATATATAAGAAAAAAAATATATTTAAAATATAGAAAGCTGATTTTGATGTTGTAATTTAGACTTGAACTATAATGGTTGATTTTGGACTGGTCGGTTCTGTTGAACCCTAATTAGCTCTGTTGTATTGAGTATTAATAATCGTATTAATAATGTGTTGACACCTGTTGTGCTATGCTGAAATATGATATTCTATGCTTTGCTTAGAAGCTTAAAAAACAGAGTCTTACTCTTTTATGTCGGGGGTCATGCAATGGTATTATGGGGTTTACTTTTTCAAAGTTATAGATCGAGGTTACCCGTTTAGTGTTATAGGGGTTACTCGTGTTACTCGGTTAGCGCATATGAGTTAGTGTCTTGCTCTAGGGGTTACATACTTTGTTCTGTTGCAAGTAGTTATTTGTTGAGGCCAGTTGTACTTTTTTTTTTTGATGATTAAAGATGTGGAAAATGTTTGGAGGGTAGTCTCTAAAAAAATGCATATAATTGAAGGGTTGGGGATTTAGAGTACTATAGTGAATTGTTGATAAAGGAAATGTTTACTCGTGCTAACGCATGACATATATTATACTATGTACCAAAAAAAAAAAACTCATAAAACAAAGTGAAATGTTAATAGGTAGTGTTTTTAAAAAAAATGAAATGTTGGGGATTTTGAGTGCTATATTGAATTGTTGATAAAAGAATTGCATAATTGTGCTAATGCAAAAAAAAAAAGTGAAATGTTAGTAGTAGTCCATTAGGAAAAAAAATAAAAAGAAAAACAAAAAGGAAATAGTGAATGGAGTAGTTATTGATTTAAAAAAAAATTAATAAAGTAGTGGGATTGGTAGTTATTTTTTTCTTAAAAAAACAAAAAAAAAAAAAAAAAAAAAAAAAAAAAAAAAAAAACCTAAATGCATGAGAGTTGAGGAATGATGTTTTGGAGGCTCCTCATTCACGTACTCTACAATTATATATTAGATTTACAATATGATTTTTACCACGAATAAGAAGAAAATGTTACATTGTTAAAGATGATAATTTAATAGCTCAATCCAACCATTTCTAATTAGTTTTTCAAATAGCGTGTACTTCCTCCGTTCTTTTTTACTTGACCCGCTTTGACTTTTACACTATTCACCACCCCTCCTTTGACCGTGTTTTGTGAATACACAAATTTTTGTATGTGGTTGGCCACACGGTGTGGCCAGCCATAATTTTTATTATTTTTTTTAAAATACCACAACTCTTCTCTCTCTTCTTTTCTTATCTTCTTCTCCAAGCCAAACCACACATCACCAACAACCATATATCTACTCCACCCATTTTCTCTCTCCTCTTTTCTTAGCTTCTTCTTCAAGCCAAACCACACATCACCAATAACCATATCTCTACTCCACCCATTTTCTCTCTCCTCTTTGTCAAACTGCTGCAATTAAAGCCCGAAATTGTATAAATTGGGTGTCAAATTGCCGTGAAAAATTGTGATTAATTATCGTTAAGATCATCAACAACATTTGAAGTAGTGAAATCGATGAGAACCAAAGAAATGTGAGCTCGTTTTCTTCGTGGAATCTTAGATCGAACATTCTACGTCAAAAATTGTAGGGTGTTACTAGTTTGGTCAAGGGTACTTGTAGGGTGTTACTGGTTTGGTCAGGGGTTACATGTAGGGTGTTACTGGTTCGGTAAGGGTGTTACTAGTTTGGTCAGGGATTACTTGTAAGGTTTTACTGGTTTTGGTCAACGGTTACTTGTAGGGTGTTACTAGTTTTTCTCAAGGGTTACTTGTAGGGTGTTACTGGTTTGGTTAGGGATTACTTGTAGGGCGTTACTAGTTTTGCTTAAGGGTTACTTGTAGGATGTTATCGGTTTGGTATGGGGCTTACAGGCAACCCTTTAATAAGTAACAAGTATTCCTTGAATAAGTAATTCATACAAATAACCTTGAAATAACTCATATAAGTAACCCCTGAATAAGTAACTCATACAAGTAACCTTTGAATAAGTAACTCATACAAGTAACCCTTGAATTAACCCATACAAGTAACCCCTAAAAAAAATACAAGTAACTCTTGAAAAAAAATATATAAATAACCCGTGAATAAGTAATCCATATAAGTAACCCCTGAAAAAAAAATATAAGTAACCCCTGAAAAAAATACAAGTAACCCGTGAATAAGTAATCCATACAAGTAACCCCTGAAAAAAAAAAATACCAGTAACCCTTGAAAAAAAAATACAAGTAACCCCTGGAAAAAAAAATACAAGTAACCCCTGAATAAGTAATCTATACAAGTAACCTCTGAAAAAAATATATACAAGTAACACCTGAAAAAAAATACAAGTAACCGTACCCTTAAATAAGTAATCCATACAAGTAACCTTTGGAAAAAAAAAATACAAGTAACCCCTGAAAAAAAAAATGCAAGTAACCCTGACAAAACCAGTAACCCTGTTATGCGAGTGAATAGTAAACCCGTTATTCGCACGTAATCCGTTAAATTTATTGACTTGGCAGCAGGCCACATGGTGTGGCCTGTTGCACCAAAAAAGCTCTGTTGTGAATAATATATAAGGAAAGATATATTTATGTTGGATTATTTTGAATTCGTCTCAATAAGTGTTATCATAATATATAATTTTTATATTTTTTAATTATGGAGAATTAAAATTATTGACCGTTAAAGTTTTACATTGACAAGCGTGATAAAAAAAATAAAAAAAAGGTCAAGTAAAAAAAAACAGAGAAAGTATTATACTACTCTATATTCATAAATGTACCTATGTTCATAGAACTTAACATTTTCCATTTTTGTCCATCTTTTTCCCTTTATTCCGGTTTATTTGCAAACCTATTTTACTATCTTACTCTCATTTCCTACAGTTTTTACCTGTTTTCGTTGACTTTTTTTTCTATCTACTTTTTTTCCTTTCAAACAGTGAAACACCCACCTTTTTTGAAAGAAAGAAAGAAAACCACCTCTTTACACTATTTCTCTTATTTATCCACCTTTCCGTTGTACAAACTTATCATATTTCAATTGCCTTTAATATACTTGCAAAGAATAAATATTATGGTTATTATTTTCAATCTAGACCCTTTATTTACAATTGTAATTATTTTCAATCTAGACCCTTTATTTACAAAAATCAATCTTTTTTTTTATTTTTTTTATTTTTATTTTTTATTTACAAAAATCAATCTTGTCCATCCATTTAATTGACTTTAAAAATTATTTAAATATAAAATAAAGCAAGAAAAAAAAAACTGTTTTGCAGTTAATTTTTTTAATAAAAAAAATAAACAAAACAAAAACTGCTTGTTACAATCGAATCTCCATTGTTATTGAAGTTTCAGCGCAGCGTTCAAATTGAGGATACTAGTATGCACTATGCAGACGTGCAGTCATAAGTCTAAATGTTGATTGTTGTGTTATTAATAATTAGCATAGGAATATCTAAGATCTGCTAATTTTCCATCAAAATTAGAAAATAA